TTAAAAAACTTTAAATTTTAAATAGTTTTTTTTTTAAGTTAGAAATATCAGATTCTCTAATTGTAGAGATTATTACGGATTTTACCGTATTTCTTAGTGGCAATTACGGATCCGTCATTTTTGTTAAAATGTTAGGGATTTAATATTTTTGAACATTTAAGAATGGAGAAAATCAATTTTTTAACTCTTAAAGTGTTATTAGATAGTACTTTAAACCTCGAAAAATTCTATTAACACTATGAACCACCAAAATAATTTTCTAACACTTTAAACCTCCAAACTAGCTTTCTAATTTGCATCGCCATAAAAGATGATGAAACAATTAATTTATGTTTATTTTATATAAATTTATTTAATTTAATTTAAATTTTAATAATATTACAATTAATAAAAAAGTTATAAAAAAAACTTCATCATCTTAGACTACTCATAGTCCTACCATAAAATTTTTAGATTTTCATTTTAGTTCATTGTATGTGTTCACCATATTTTTGTTGCAATTGGTATTATGAGATTCCAATTTATCCACTAGAAATAGTGAAAACGCTTCTTGATCAATCTCCAAATAGAATCCTCCGATACGAAAAATGCTTCATTTTCTGGCTAAGTTTCGACATTTTTTGGTTTTTATTGTTCTATTTTAAGCTTCTGTCGTTGTACCTCAGATTCTACATTATTTGGTTTTTATTCTTCTACTTTAAACTGCTCTTGTGCTTCAGTCTCTAGTTTCATAGGTTTACCAAGAGATTTTATGGTCGGACGGTGAAAGAAGATGAATTTTTTTGTTTTTTTTGGATTTTTATTAATTATAATAAATAATAAAATTAATTTAAACTTATATTAAATTAAATAAATTTATATTAAACACACAAAAATTAATTGTTCCGTCATTTTTTATGGCGGTGCAAACAGAAAAACTAAAATGTTTAAAGTATTAGTAAAATTATCTTGGTAGTTTATAGTGTTAGTAGAATTCTTTTGGTTTAAAATGATATTCGGTGATACTTTGAGGGTCAAAAATATGATTTTATTTTAAGGATGTACATATTTTGTGATTTTTCTTTTTGCTAAAATACAAACTTTATAACAAATACTAAACACTAAGAATAAACACAAATATAATGGATGAAACACATATTAAATTGTATTTTTATATCTTAAAAATGACAAATCTATGGAAAACTCGGTAACTAATTTCTAATTATATCCTATATTCCTATGGCTATTCCTATATTTTAAATACATAGTATTTATTATCCAGAAAATATTACTTGAAATAATTTTGTTTGGTAGTTCAGGTATCTAAACATTTTTGTATGTACGTATCCAAATTCTAGTTACTTGAAATATCGACGGGATCAGATATATAATTAATACAAAAATACTATCTATTCAAAATTTCTAACACAAAGTGTGCAGATACCATCTAAGGACCGGTATAGGTCCGGTACCACTATATTTAACATCAAATTTCGAGAGTATAATATAGTAAACCTGCCTGTAAAATTGATACTTAAAATGTTAGATACAATCTTCCATTACAACGATAATTTATTCATTACAGGGCAACTGTGCAAGTACGTACGGGACTATTGAGAGTGTAATTTCTTACATAAAGGAGTAATTATAATTTACAGGACACATGGTAAGTAGTAATATTTATAATTTAGACCGACCACTTGGGTTTCTTCTGTCATTTTCCATTTATGAATATGAACAATCCATTTGATCCCGTCCTAGGTGGGAGTAGACTGCAATCTACAATAATTAATTAATAGTACAAAACCAATTGATTACAGAATTAGTTAAGTAGTACTAATAAACTAAAGGATGTAATTATTCAAGGTTGAGCCCTAGCTATAGTACCCGATTTTTTAAAAATAAAACCCAATTAAGCAATTAATTAAGACCCCATTATATTAGACGAAAGCAAGTACCATCATCATATGTAATCATGCATATTTATCAAAGTTCTTATACATCAATAATATAAATTAATAAAAAATAAGAGAGGGAATCCCAAAGCTATCATCATCCACATTAAACTCTAGGATACTTTTGATTCATTATGTCTCTTTTTATATTCTTAATTGTTTTGAAACTTTTTATTTTTTCTAAACCTACGATTAATTATAGTGCTATTTAAAATATATAAAAATTTAATACAACACGTCAAAAGAGTTTTTTTTTTTTAATGAATTCGTAACATTAGACTAGCATTTCTTGACGAAAAAAAAAAAGACTAGCATTTCTTCGAATAATAACACATATAATAGTGTATAAAGATCTAATTGACGAGAACCTCAAAAAAAAACACGTATTTGTATACATGTACGTGTGTTTGTTTTTGTGTTTGTGTTTGTGTGTGTCAGTGACTCAGTGCGTGTGTGTGTATAAACTAATATTTGTGTATAAGATAATTGTGATTGTTATATACAAAATAATATTGTGTATCAAACTACATTCATTACCATATATAAATAATATATAATATATCATCATATTTTCATTTATCAACAACAAAAAACATAATTTCATTTGTTATTATTAAAGTTTTACTTTACTATATTTTAAAGCCATAATAAGTAGTACTTTTACTTTGAAAATTCAAAAAATAGACATAATATAAAAACAGAGAGGTTGGTTATAATGTTTAAGTTTTCATTCATTCCTACTTTTAGGAATCAATTTTTTTTCTTAAACTCATTTGGTGACATAACTCAACTTTTGGCCAGTGGTGTTACATAGATAGTTCTTCACTTCTTTGCATAAAGATTTGCTATCTGATTAAATCAAATAGTACAAATTTTGGTTAAAAATTGGTAGCTCTTGTTGGTGTATATATATCTTCAAGGTGTTAGTTTTTGTTGGTGTGATTTTTTTTTTCTAATATGGCTTGTTTTTGCAGGTGAAAGATGATCTTTGAGCACAAAAAAAAAACTATAGGTCCGCATCGTCAGAGAAATTGAAGATTTATCTCGGATGTGGAGGACTCGCGGTAAATCCGACTAAAATTGAAAATCCTCCTCTTCCAACTCCAACAAATGCTCCTTCCTTTGTTCTACCTAGTTTTTACATTGTTCTTTTCTAATATTTAGGCTGTGAATGGAGACGTAAAAAAAAGCGGATTTCAGTTTGGTTTTTCGAAAACCACATAAAGTCACCAATCACATATTTTTCTCTATTATGTGCGGTTTTCAAAAAATATAGAAAAAGGTGTTTGCGTTTTTGCATATCAGGTATTAACCAGTGGACCGCACCTATTTTTCCAAACGATCAATTACCCAGCGGATTTACCAATTCCGCACAGGTTAAAACAGTTCTCTCTTTTTTTCTTTTTTATTTTTCTTTTTTTCTTTCAACAGCTAACCTTTTTTTTTTTTTTTGGGCTGAAAGCTAACCTTCCTTTTTTTTTTTTTGGGCTGAAAGCTAACCTTCCTTTTTTCATTTAATTTATGATTAATAAAAAAAGCTAAAATTGCCTCCACACATTTTAACAAATAACAATATACTAAATATGTTTTTTTAAAAAAATTAACTTGTTAACAATTCTCATAAATATTTTACTTTGAAAATGTGTTCTTTTAGAAAAAAATTAACTTACTTCACTATTTCTTCATAAATTAGAAAATAACTAATTTTAGTAAAAAAAACAGATCTATAGAAGAAAAAAAAGTTATAGTAAGATTTTATTAAACTATGGTTAAATTATTTCATATAAATTGTAGTAGTTATTAATAAATCAATATGAAATCTGCACCGCAAATAGTTTTTCACCAATCAAATTTTATTGTGTACCGCTTATTTTGTATAAACCGCACTTGTCCCGCAAACCGCATGTACCGAAGTTGATCCGTACTGCACTCTAAAACCACTTTCCCCGCATAACCAAATACGCGGTCACCATTCGGACCCTTAGTTTTCTGCTTTTTTAATCTCTATTGTCGGTAAAAAATTAGAAATTGGTATTACTTTTAACATGTTTACTTTACAAAAAAAAAAAAAAAATTTGTTTAAAAATTAGGAATAACAATGATTTTGTTTTTAGTTTCCGGCAAAAGTAGCAGGGGAAGAATGATTACGTGAATGATGTAGGACCCAAAACGTTTTGAAATAAATTTCTAAATTTTTGACCAAATTGAGTTTTTATAATTTAGAGGAGTGTTGGCCCCATCACTCTCTCGTCGACCTCTCCATTGTCTTTATGGAATGAATGATAAAAGAGGACACCTCACGTGGACTCTGCTGCCACAACGACTCTCTCCAACCATATCCCCTTCACATATATACATATTTTTCTTACATTTACTATATATTAAAGACTGCATTGTACATTTTTTTCATCTCATTTATTAACGCAACGTTCAGATTTTTCCATTTTTAACTAGTCGTGAAAAAGTATTTTCGTTGTACGGTGAATATTGTAGCCCTTTTTTACGGTGGCCTTTTTCGATTTGGATGATGAGTATATTATACATAGAGAAAAGAAAAATAATGGAAAAAAAAGAAGAAGATATAATTCTTATTAATGTTTACAAATTACAACGATGATCCATTATTAAAAATATCGAAATCTTTGGATACAGTGACAGATTTGTTTCGTTTCAAGTTTGTAACCCTATTGTTAATGCTGTTTATAAAAGTTTTTAGCAATAATTTCATTCTCGAAAAAATCTAAGACGGATATATCAAAAAGTTTTAACTCTTAACGGATTGATTTTGATTGGAATTAACGTTGAATTTTTCACATTTGATAATTGTATCAATCCATTTTTGCGTTGATTAAATGACATTTTCTTTTCTTCAACTATTAAATGATACTCCCATTGTTGACAATGACATTTCTCTAAGTATGATTTTTACTAATTATAGGGTGAGAGATGAAGCATATATAAATAAGCTATGAACAGTGTTTTTTGTTTGAAAATAAAAAAGATATATGCAATGAGATTTTTCTTTTAAGTTATTTAATTTTTAAATGTTTTTTAAAGCTCACCCATATAATTCTCACTCATGATCTTTGTTTCTTTAAGCTTTTCTTCCCCATTGTCTCTCTCTTTCTTATCCTCTCCTTCTCACTCAATTCCTTCAAACATCTCTTTTCTTAAAAATTTTCCCTTCTTGTCAAAAATAAAAAAAATCACATATAAATAAAAACCAAAACCCTAATTTATAAAAACATATAAAATAGTTATAGCTCCCCACTTATATATGCAAAAGCCAACATCAAGTATCTTAAATGTCATAATGGACGGTGGAGACAGCGTCGGAGGAGGAGGAGGAGGAGGAGACGATCACCACCGTCACCTCCACCATCACCACCGCCCTACTTTCCCTTTCCAACTCCTCGGAAAACACGACCCCGACGACAACCATCAACAACAACAACAACCTTCCCCTTCCTCCTCCTCCTCTCTCTTTTCTCTCCATCAACACCAACAATTATCTCAATCACAACCACAACCGCAATCGCAGCAAAAGCCACAACCGCAGACAACGCAAAAAGAGTTGTTACAAACGCAAGAGGAATCAGCAGCGGTGGTGGCAGCTAAAAAGCCGCCGTTGAAACGAGCGTCGACTAAAGACCGACACACAAAAGTAGACGGAAGAGGAAGGAGGATAAGGATGCCGGCGTTATGTGCAGCTAGGGTTTTTCAGCTAACGAGAGAGCTCGGTCATAAATCCGACGGTGAGACAATAGAGTGGCTTCTTCAACAAGCTGAACCATCAGTAATCGCCGCAACCGGAACTGGAACAATCCCGGCGAATTTCACTTCTTTAAACATCTCTCTCCGTTCTTCAGGCTCTTCTATGTCTCTTCCTTCTCATTTCCGCTCCGCCGCTTCAACTTTTAGCCCTAATAACATGTTTTCTCCGGCGATGCTTCAACAACAACAACAACGAGGTGGTGGTGGGTTTCACCATCCTCATCTACAGGGACGTGCAACGACGTCGTCTTTGTTTCCTGGTATTGATAACTTCACACCAACGACGTCGTTTTTGAACTTCCATAATCCGACAAAGCAAGAAGGAGATCAAGATTCAGAAGAGTTAAACTCTGAGAAGAAAAGAAGACTCCAAACGACGTCGGATTTGCATCAACAACACCAACATGATCAAATCGGAGGATACACTCTTCAATCTAGCAACAGTGGATCTACCGCCACCGCCGCTCAGCAAATACCGGGAAATTTCTGGATGGTTGCGGCGGGTGGTGGTGGTAATAACAACCAAACAGGTGGTCTTATGACAGCTTCTATTGGTACCGGTGGAGGCGGCAGCGGCGGTGGTGAGCCTGTTTGGACGTTTCCTTCCATTAACACTGCGGCGGCAGCGTTATACAGAAGTGGCGTTTCGGGCGTTTCAGGCGGCGCAGTTTCGAGCGGTTTACATTTTATGAATTTCGCAGCTCCAATGGCATTTCTTATGGGACAACAACAGCTAGCAACAACTAGTAATCATGAGATTAATGAAGATAATAATAATAATGAAGGAGGAGGAGGAGGAGGAAGAAGTGACGGTGGTGGTGATCATCATAATACACAGAGACATCATCATCATCATCAACAACAACATCATCATAATATTCTCTCCGGTATAAATCAGTACGGACGGCAAGTTTCCGGTGAATCTCAAGCTAGTGGATCACTTGGAGGTGGTGATGAGGAGGATCCGCAAGATTAGACACACACAAAAAAACAATTTTACGGTGGGATTTTCTGCCGGCGGCGGTGGCGGTGACGGCGTTCGGCGGCTGTGTTATACTTTTGTTTTCGCCGTTAATTTTTTATTTTCTGTAGTAAGTAAAAAACAAAACACGTGAGATTTTTTTTTAGTTTTGATTTTTTTTTTTGTTTACTTTGATTTAAATTTGATTTTTCTTGTGAGTGAGTGATTAAATAGTACACGAGATTTTTTATGTCAGGTTTTTTGGATTTTGAGGAGAATATGACACTTTTTTATCATTATTATTTTTTCCTTCTGATAGTGTCAATATCTCGATTTTCAATCATCTTCGTTTTCTTTATCCATTAAGAAAATTAATTACACATAAAGAAAAAATTTAAGTATTCGCCAAAAATGTTGGTTCATATCTCCAGACTCCAATAAAAAAATATACTAATAGTAACATCAAAGTATAACATTTTTCAATCTTATTGTTTTTCTTAGTAACATTACGTTTTAATTGTTAAATACAAAATGCCAAAAAAAATTGAGAAACTATTTTATGTAGGAATAAGATGGGCCTCTCTCTTGGCCCACCAATCTCTATCTCACTTGGCCCTTGAAGTAGTTGTTTCAAAGCTAATAGAAAATAGCAAAGTGTCTCGTTTGTTTTACATGGTCGAACGAAAACGATACAAAAAATATAAAATATCTCGTTTGATCTTATATGCTATGAAATATATTAAATGCTTTTTTAGTATGTGATTCATTTTATCTCTGTTTCTTTGTCGTTTGTCCCCACTAAACAATCAATCTGATTTTGTATATGATTTAGAGTATCAGAATTAGAAAGTGATCTAGTTTGAAAGACGCGTTCTATGTTATGGTTCACAATTTTCTTTTTTTTGTTAACCAACGTTCTAACAAAGTACACCAAAAAAGCTTGATTGATTCAGTATATATTCTTTTGTGTTTGTATATCTTTAGAAACTAATATAATATATCACCTTTTTTTATCAGATTTCGTTTTTTAAATTGAGAATATATATAACTAGAACATTATTTACTCTATAAATTTTTTTTTTACATGGTAAAATATAGTCTATTCACTCAACATTCGAAGTTTAAAGCATTGATTTGGTCGGTTTAGAACATTTAAATGCACCATATCAATTGGAATTCAAGAATCAAGTTAGGTTATGCATGTAACGCAATTGTTAGTTTGAGTAACCGGTTTTTCGTTCATGTTAGGGCCTGACTGGTTTAAACGCAGCGGTTGCGGTTGCGGCTGCGGGAGTTTGCGGAAGCGGGCGGTTGCGGCTTCAAGCGTTATCAAGCGTTTTGAACGACTGGTTTAGCGTTTGAAAATGGATGCGTTTGCGGGAGTTTTATGAATGGTAAACCAGCGGGTGCGGTAGCAGTTAAATAAAAAATGACCAAAATAAATAAAAAATATTACAAAAAATAGAAATAAAAACACCAATATATTATTATGATAATATTAGAAAAATTGAACATGCTTAATAATTAAAACCATAAATAAAGTACTAAATAATTATTCAAAAATAAAGAAATTTTGTAACAAGATAGTACTTTATGCATCTGGTTTAACATCAAAAATTGCATCAAGTAATGAGACAAACTGTAAATAACGTTGAATTTAATCAAAAAGCAAGTGAGTTTCTATTCGAGAAAACAAATCGAAACATATATTCAATCAAAAAGCAAAGCAATACGTAATGAAAAGAAAAATAACGATGCAATGAAAAATATTCAAAAAGTTACACATGAGGTGATGAATGAAGAAAAGGATATATGATACTTACGTTTGGTTATTGATTTTCATCAGTTTGGGTGGAAGACATTGAGAGAATAGGGTTTCAGAATATTATTAGAGATTCTGATGAGAACATGATACAAAGATGAAAGATATATAGGATTAATATCCCTATATATTATAATAATTATAAGTAAACGTTTGATTTTTTTTATTTAAAAAAAAAAATCCAACCGCTACCGCCCGCAACCGCAAACGCTTGCGGGAAGGAGCTTTTGAAATTTAGCGATTTTGAGCGGTTCGAAGCGGTACGGAGCGGTTTCTATGATTGTTACCAACCGCTAACAACCGCAACCGTCCGCTAACAACCGCTAGGAGGGTACTAGCGGGAGAACCAATCAAGCCCTTAGACGAGTTTTTACTTCTTCGTAAATTTTTTTATTTATTTTCATATACCCCCCCCCTCCATTTTTAATAGTTGATATTTTAGAAAAAACAATTGTTCTAAATTATATGATGTTTTTAATATAAAAGTAATTATTTTTTTATTGTTTTTGATTCTTTATATTATACAAATTATATTATCACTGGTTGAATTGTGTTTAGATAATTAATACTAATTTTTATTTTATATAGTAAAACGTCAACTATTAAAAATAGAGAGAGTATCATTTAAATTTATTAGCAGAAAGTTTATTAGTTTCTATTGCTAGAGTTAAAAAATTTGGAGATTTGATTTATTAATATTTTTCATTAGGATTTGATTGAGCTAATTATCTAAGGTTGAGATTGACAATAATTTTCTAAAATAACTATATTATACACGGTTTAAAAATCTATTTCGCATGGGTCTAATAAGTTTAACAAAAAGGATGGAGACAGAAAACAAATAAAAATAAATGTGAATGCAGACTATATAATACTATATCATTGAATGTATAATAAATTATACAAATTCAATAAGTAGAGAGAGATTGATAGTGGTGGTGACATGAGGACTGTAGCATTGTAAGGGTCGTGGGACCTAAAACGTTATCAGGTGCAGTGATTGTCGTGTGGACCTGATTGATTCTCTCATCTCCGTAACCAACGTTCACTTTTTCCCCTCACTCATGACACCAAAAATTCTCTCTTTTTTCTTTTTCACCACACTCGGTAATAAAAACATGGCAACACCAATTACTAGTAATCAAACCATAAATAAAACTACGTTATTTTCATATTTTGTTCACTTTTAAAAATTACATCTTTCTAAGGGATATGAAATGTAGATATGTATAATCATATATACATACATGATTCGACTTTAGGTGGTTTAATTACAGAATTAAAATTTCTACACTAATTGTTTGAAATTCGTAATAAATCAACGGATGACATTATTATCGTTATATATTTATAGATTATCATGTTGTCATTATGTAATATAGCTAATTCCGATCTAATGTTTTAAATTCGTAATAAATTTAATAAATGACACTAGTATTTTTGTACATAGTTATAAATTCTCACGTTGTCATTATATGATATAGCTAACTCCAATCTAAAGTTTAAAATTCGTAATAAATTAATGGATGATTTTAGCACCAGAAAATACATAAATATGCCATTTAAAAAAAAAAAAGTGACTACGTACGCAACGAGTCAACTGATTTTGTAGGACAAGACAGAGATGCAAACAATTTTAATAGTATAGTTGGGGTAAGTTTTAGATCACATGGGTTTAAATTGTGAAGCCATCATCGTACGGAAACGTAAAAATTGGTCCACATACGAAAATTACATTAAAGTATATATAAGCAAATGTACGATTAAAAGTGTCAACCTTCAACTAGTCACGGGGTCAAATATAACCATGTGTGAATTGTTTGTTTGTCTTTTTGATACATAATTTAATCGAATATATAATTGTTTTTAGTATCCATCTCTTCATACAAATATTTACCTTATTCTATATAGTGAGTACTTTTTATAATTTTATCGTGTGCCATGAATCCGAGACTTTTAAACTATAAAAAATCCCTAAAACGTGAGTAATTTTACATGGTGTCATGAATCTTGAGGATTCCTAAAACACAAACATAATGATTATTGTTATTACTTGAGAAACATTTTTTTATAAATCTCATGCAACATTATCACAAAAGATTGTTGGTGAGAAAGAGAATAATAAGCTCATTGACCTACGCCCAAATGTACTAACTTGTACCTATAGGTGGTCCTTGTTGCTATTGTTCTATGATTCTATCATGACATCGGAAGACAAAACCCCTTGGGATTAACAAAAAACTTGTTACTTAGAAACAAAAAAAAAAAAGAATGATCAATTATTGGAGACAAGATCAAAACTTTCCTCAACTTGTTCATCTAAACCTTCGTAGGGAGTTTTTGCAAAGTCTTCATGCCCGAGAGTTCCAAGCTTTACGCATTTTTTGGGAAAGATACATTGTTGCATTGATAGCTCCAGCAGCCAAGAAACCAGATACAGCTTGTCTTGCGCTTGAAACCATTACCCTTCGTTTCATTACATTCCCCATACATTTCGCTGCTTCTTCTCTCGAAGCTATACAAACTTCTCCCATAACTCTACCTATACATATATACCAGTTTTGCCATCAAGAATCAATAATCATGCATCCATTTCATCTTTAGGATCGAAATATAGCTTATATAACTCGAGAGAGAGTTGATACCTGTCTCACTCACGAATTTCTTCTCCCCGAGTGACTTCCCCATTAGGCTTCTCACTGATGTGGGAAGAGAATAGACCAGAGAACGTGTTGCTGACAGGCTAGAATCCTGTTCACAAGTTGAGAAGGATTGATATAAGAACAATCTCAAGACTGAGTTATATCCATGGTGAATTGGTGATGGAGCCTATAAACTGTGTATACCTGCACTAATTTAGTGTGACTAGCTTCAGCCGATGAGAATCTCAATAAGTTTTTGGTCTCGCACTCTTCAATAAAAGGCTTATACATTGACTGGAAAATATCAAATTGTCCCTTTACAATCTTGTTCACCTAAAGGGCAAGGGATCAGAAATCTTTTCACCCAAAAAATTAAAAATAGTTTATAATGTTCTAAGAACAATTTTTGCTATGTGATGTCCTAAAGAACATGACTGGGTTCTCTCTCACCTTATTAGTGTCCTCTGCAAAAAACATGCGCAGGTCTCCCATGTAAGAAAGGCTGCATATTTTGGCGTATAGATCTTCCTGCGCAAGAGTTCTGTGAGTTATAGCGTACAGTCTAGTGAAACTTCAAGGTTTCTGAGCAGTGAGAAGAAAACCAACCTCGGTGAATTTTGATGGTAAGAGAAGAAGAGCAGCAGATACTGCAGCTCTCTTATTAACAGAATTCACATCCTCTATGTCCAGATTATCAACAAGCATATGAACCTGCAACCAAAGACACTTTTCTAAAACATCTCATGTACCACATTTATTAGTAAAAACACCAAGTAACTGACATACCGGTTTCTGTAAACGGCCACTCAAGTAGAATCTATTCCAGTCTAGTATGTCCTGTACTAGGTCATGCATCCGAACAACCCCATACTTGAGCTTCTGCAAATAGCTTCACAAAGAAAGTAAATCATGCAAGAAAAATAGCTTAAGATTACATACAATGCGATCATTATCAAACTTAGATTGTTCACTAGGTTTTAAAAACTCTACAGTTCCTGCGAAGTTCTTACCCTGTCATTCCAATTGACAAACGGATTGAAGTGAACTCCAACTCCTACTTTATCGGCAACATTTGTAATCTAATATCGCGAGAAAAAAGAACAGTATGTTCAGTATTTGATTAAGCCGTATAAGCACTGCAAGAGTATGGAATACAGAGAGTAATAATATACCAGTCTGGCTCCACCAAGGTGAACCATCCACGAAGCATAGTGATCTGAATTCATTTTCAGATTCTTGGCCACACAATAAAAAATTGGAATTAGGATCCATGGGCTTAAATAAATAGCTCCTGCTATAACAATTATAATCAAAAGATATTGCTCACCAGAGAGTGCCATTTCATAGGATCAGAGACTCCAAGGATATAGTCCACCATTTTAGACTACACAAAGCAAAGGTCACATTTTTACACTCAATTTAGCAAACTGATTCAGAAACAGGAATACGCTCATCAAGGAGAAGACAAAGACCTTATCTTGGTTATTTGGATGCAATGTGGAACCATAAACACAACAGAAATCCACAGGAGGAAGAACACCTAAGAAGCTCGAAAGCTCCTCTCTTTGAGTAGTTTCCATTACCAAAAAAGTACCTTTTTACTAAATGTAATGCGTATTTGATTTCCCTTGAAGTTCCAGAATTCACCAGGGCAAAAATCTATTCAAATGAAGCGATCAATTTAGATTTCGAGTAATCGAAGTAAAGTTTCTACAATTAGGTTTATGAATCATTGTGCTTTGAGATTGACACAAACCATGGAAAAAGAGAGAAAGAGGAGGAATTCGAAAGTGTTATTGATTTAAGAGGACAATTGAAGAAGCTTTACCTGCGACTGCGAGTGAAGGCGGCGCAGAGAGAGGAAGAAGAACAAACGCCGTGAAGCTTTTTTTGGGTTGGGCCAAAAAGATTAGTTTCTAACCAATGTTTTTCCGGACCCGGACCGGTAAACCCATGATCCGTTTAATTATTTGTTCCCGGTCTAGCTTCAAAATCCTGGTACTAACGAACCGGGAAAATCCTGGTAAACCCGAGAATAACCGATGACCTTAATTATCATTTTTTTTTAAATTATAAAATGTTAAATTTATTCAACTAGATTATATAGGCGGGATTTTAGTTTTGATTTTTTATCAATACGAATCTTTGAATATAAATCTTATAAATTAAATTTTTTTTTTTTACTTTATTCATATGCATTATCTTTCCAAAGTACTAAAAACATTCTCTCACTTTTTACTACAATTTTTCTCGTTATCTTCTATGATTCACTCATCGTCTTACGATATCGACTCTTTTTCACCTTATATTGATTCACATATAATATACTCAATTGTGAATTAGTTCTCAAGAGAGATTGTATAGTTTTTCTCCTTCCTATATTTGAATACTCAATTCTATTTTAAACGTTGTATGATCTTTTTACTAAAGTAAACATCAAAAAATCTGAGAAAATATTTTGTCATAAGGTTTCTTTAGCCATGTTTTGGTGCATGTAAAATTGTTCTATAAACAATAAATTTCATATATAAACTCATTCTTATATATTCACAAACAACGGATTTTAACATCAAAAATTTTCACTTTATCTTGATTGTTTGAAAAATATAAAATTCTCTTTTCTAAAATATGTAAATTAAGAAATCATAAAAATTATTCTAGTTTTTAAATACGCTTATTTTTTATAACAAAATCATCCTTATTTCTAATTAATAAATAGCATTCTCAAATATTATTATTAGAAAGTTTTATTATTCGATTAAATTATTTTATTTTTATTTGTGCTGGTTAGGATAGTTTGTTGTTTTGTTTCAAATCACCTTCATTTTTTTCAATCTATGTTAATTTTCTAAACACACATTCATAATTAGTTTTTCTTTCTTAGGTATTCATTTTTTATAAAAAAAAATGTCCACTTTTTAATTGAGAAAACTTTAATAATATAGACAAATTTATTAATTTAACTATTTATATTATATTATAATTATAAATGATGATATTTATTCATTCCTTCTTATTTTTTAATTGGTATCATGAATTGATACTTTAAACTTAACAAATATATTCTCAAATTCTAAATATGTATTTTTTTAAAATGAAGTACTTTTTTTAGTTAGGACCTTTAAATTTGGTATTTTTAACTCTTATTTTTTTTAATTCAACTAAATAATTATAACTCTTAAAACGTATTGTTGTATAGTCCTGGACGTTTGGTTATCCAATCGGTTTCGGTTCGGTTCCATTCGTTTCCGGTTATTTTGGTTCTAGAGTTTAGTATCTGTTTGAGTATTTTGAAATTTTTGTTCGATTTCGGTTCGGTTCGGGTTCTTTTAGTTTTAAAATTTAGTATTCATTCGGGTATTTTGCTTCGAATATTTTTGGATATTTCAGTTATTTTTGAATATTTTTGGATACTTTTCGGTTATTATCTAGTATTTTTATATAGTTTTGAGGTATTTTTGATTATTCAGTCTATAAAAAACTAATATTTTAAGATATATAATTGTATTTCTGGTATTTTCGGGTATCCAAAATATTTCGGATTGGTACCGATTCGGTTCCGGTTCTTACGGTTATAGAATTTAGTATCCATTCGAATATTTTCAAATTTTCGGTTCGGTTTGGTTCTTTTTGCTCCGTTTCCGGTTCGTTACATTCGGTTCGGTTAATTTGCCCAGGCCTTGTTACATTAAAATATATCATAAGTTTATTTTTCCTAACTCTAACCATTTAAAAATATTTACTCATTATATGTTAAGACATGATTATCTAACTTTATATTTCTCTACTCTCAATTCAAAAGTTTTATATTTTGTGTTGTATATTTATTTTTTCGTTTTTTCATATTTAATTTATTTTTTTGTAAATTATTGATTTTTAATGAAAAGTAATAATTTAAAATGTGTAAATTAATTTAGTTTTTGTTTTAATAAATAAGATATGTGGAGCCCACAAAAATAATAAAATGTGATGACATGAATGCTGATGTGGACACCTTAGATGGAAAGACAACTCACCCATTATATATACAGATTTTTTTTTTAACATCAAATGCGTCGATTGTTTAAATGTTTTCAGAATTTAAATTTCAAAGAGAAACCAAAGATGATGAGAGCTTCGTTCTTATCTTGATGCGAACCAAATCGTCGCATATAACTGTTTCTTTGCTCTCTTATAGAAGATGTCAGTGCTTCAAACTTGTTTATCTAGTCATTGGACCAATTGAGTTGAGGAAGTTGGAGCTTCTCCATACTTTCTACTATTCCGTTTTTTCTATAACATATGAACCGTGAGCTGAAATGTGTATCTCTTCAAGAACAAACAATATTTACCTACCCATATACTCATCTGTCAGGAGCTTGAGAATATTATCCCATCTTGTTGTGAATTTTTGAGAAAAAATCTTATTTGTTAGTCGCGACCAGACTTTCGCCGAGTATAGATATATGAAAAACAAGTGGCTGCGATTTTCTAAAGGTTCTTCACAAAAAGTACAAGAAAGATCTATTCCACCATTCCAACTTAACATTATACTTAACCGATTTTTTTAACCGTCTTATTTTCTTCTCATCATTTTATTTATTTCCAAATAAGATTCTGGGATGAAGAGAAAGAGAGGCGTTCCGATTTTTTAACCGTCTTAGGTCCTGTTCGTTTGCTTATTTGGGATATGCATCCAAATGGTTCATCCAAATAGTCTATTTGACTAATCCATCTGAATGATGTTCGTTTCCATTTTTTGTGGTTCAGTTGGATGATCCATCTAACTACTTTTCTTTAAAATTTTGTTTGTTTGTTCAGCTGAATGATCCATCTAAATGTTTTTGATATGAAAATGACTAAAATGCCTATGTTTTCATCTAATTATATTTAAATTTTAATCTAACCATATTAATTACCGATCAAATATATATTTACAATCAAATAAATTTCAAATTATTATATTTGACATTTAAATTTCTATTTTCATGATTTTTTTTTTTTTATATATAAGAACCAAAGCATATGCTATGAAATTAAACAACAACCAACATAAACCAAACAAACTCCAAATTATCTAAGTTTTCTTTCTCACCACGAAAACCTCACTTACAAGCTGCTTAAGATTCTCTAACTACATTAAAATATTACAAATCCGATTCTAAGTTAAGAAACAATAAAATCATGAACACAAACACAAGTTCGAGAATAATTAAAGCTGGAAATATTTACTCATCCTAATATCTACACAGAGCATAAAAACTACAAGGATCTACCACCAAATAGCACTACATATAAAGGAAATTAGAAAATCCAAATAACAAATAGCTAATCAATCTCAGTTGTTCAACCCATTGCAGATAATGCATCCAAAAATTTCTCTGATCACTCATACAAACACCAAGACCAAGCAACTTTTAGCTATAGCCTACCAGCAAGATAAGATCTTTGCAATGAGAATGATACTACAAAACGTATCTGAATCAATCAATTCCAAATGATCAGAAGATTTCAGCTTTAAGATAATGCATCGTTTCAGCTTTCAAACATATAAAATAGAACCATATAAGATAGAAGCTTTCGGCTTTCAACAACAATCAACAATAGATGACAATAAATCCAAGCCAAAAGTAAAGTGCAATAGAAAGCAGAAACGATCAGATTCATCATATCTTCTAAAATTATGACATGATAAACTTCTAAAAGGAGACGATAATTGAATAATATGTCTAGTAGATTCATCATATCTTCCGCTGACATATGAGTTTGATACTAAGCAATAACTAAAATTCTTTAATCAGCTGCATCAAGGAACACAAAAGCTAAGCACCATTTTATAGCTTTGACACTTTGAAATGACAAATAGCAACTAAAGGGACAACAAACACAAACCCTAGCTGAGGTAAAAGTAAGCTCTATATTCAGTATCTTGCAACCTGAATACAATCAACAAACCATAGAAAAATAAGCAAACAGAGTTCAAGCTCCTTAATAAGCAACGACGCCCAAGAGAAGTGCCAAAACAAAAGCCAATAATCAAACCCATGAACTATAAGAATCAAATACACGACTAAGAATCCAATAATCAAACCCATGAACTATAAGAATCCAATAATCAAACCCATGAAAAATTATAGCCGCTCAAATACACACAAATAATTCTATGAAAAACCCATGAAAGATTATAGCCTATAAGCATCATAAACTCAATACAAAACCTATGAATCTTACCTTAAACTAACGGCGAGAGATTCGGCGGAGAGAACGGCGAGAGATCCGGCGGAGAGAAACGGTCGGCGAAGTGGACGGCCGGCGAGAGATCCGGCGGAGAGAGAGAGCTGATTTTGTTTGTAAAGAGAACAAAAACAGAGAATCGTCGACGAATGAAAGAGAAGAGGATTAGGTTTTAGGAGTGAAATTTTCTAAACTAAGTAGGGGTATTTAGGTCATTTTCTATTTTAGACTGAATCAGCTCCAGTTAACTGCTCCGATCAGACTCAGCCGGATTCCAATCATTTTTTGGATGAGTTTATTAAAAATCATCCAACTGCTCCATCTCACTGCACTGTTAAATTGCTCTAAACGAACATCAATATTCATCTCCATTCAGCTGGATCATCTGAATGGAGAAACGAACAGCACCTTAGTAGAATTACGTTATTTCTTTTTAATTCACAATTTCATATATCTTCAGTTCTTCATTACCCATTAAAAATAATTTACTTTTTTGGGTCAAAAGTTAAAATTTTATTACGCCAACAAAAATGTAAAGACTAATCATATTCATATAACCTTCATTCAATAAATGGCTCATGGGTGAAGAAGGTGGTGGGTAGTAGCGTGGGGGGGAGGTTACTCCCAGAGAGAGTGATAGATGATGGCTTCGTGACGGAGAGATTGCATCTGACTTTCCCGGATGGTGAGGATGGGGAACCAGAGATTACAATCGAGAGGGAAGTTTTGGAAGCCATGAATGGTCTTTGGAAGCAGTGCATGATTGTGAAGGTACTCGGGAGGAACGTTTCGATTGCAGCCCTTAACCGTAAGCTGAGGGAGTTGTGGAATCCGAAAGGTATGATGTCGGTTATGGACTTGCCTCGCCAGTTCTTTATGGTTCGGTTCGGGTTGGAGGAGGAGTATCTCGCGGCCTTAACGGGAGGACCATGGAGAGCGTGTGGGAGTCATCTTACAGTTCAAGCGTGGTCACC